CGAACCAAACGTTGACATTAAAATAAATATATATAACAAATTAGTTATACGAACACATATCTGATACTACAAGTCACGCATATTTCTAAATACAAATTCAATCCAAACATTCACATTAAAAATAAATACATAATGATAAATTCGTTACAGTAACAATATATGCCTTCAATCTAACACTCAATTTTTAGTGAGGGTAAATATAACATTAAATAATTTTTGTTGTACTTCTATTTAAGTATTATTATTTAAATTTATTAACGTTTTATGAACTTTATTTAAATTATTTACACATACATGTATGTTTTACGTATTGAGACTTATTATTGTTGTGATTTTCTTGTATCTTATTATCGATTAAACATTTCGGCTTGTTCTTAAGGTTAACTTTATTACACTGGCTTCCCGCTCAGTAAATTGACCTCGTGTCTGCAGGGGATAGCTCAAGTCGAATTAACTGTGTTTTTTTTTTTAATTAGAGCATTGATATGTTTATTACTTATTGCTTAATGTTGTCATTCATTTAATTTACTTGTAATATTCATGATCAAATTTTTTTGCTGTACTACTTGTATCCTCCTGCGGCCTAACTCTCTAATTAAACATACGTGCCGTGGTAATTTATATCACATGTTAACCCCCCAGTGACACAGCGGTATGTCTGCGGACTTACAACGCTAGAAACCAGGATTGAATACCCGTAGTGGGCAGGGCACTGATAGCCCGTCGTGTAACTTTGTGTTTAATTACAAACAAAATCACATGTTAATAATCTCCTCTAACGTTGACCCCCAGTGGTACAAAGGTATGTCTGCGGACTTACAACGCTAGAAACCGGGTTTCGATACCCGCGGTGGGCAGAGTCCATTGTATAGCTTTGTGTTTAATTACAAACAAAATCACATGTTAATAATCTCCTCTAACGTTGTACTGTCGAAGTCTGTTAATGGGCTTCATTGGTTATGAGACATTGTTAAGAAGTATTATGTGAAGTTCTGTTTTTGTTTGTTTGTTTGTAACATACACGGTGATTTCACGTAGTGGAGTTAATTTCAATATTCATATTATTTTTGTTTGCATTGTTTTGTGTGGCTCGTATTTTATTAGTGATTATGTAGCAAACAAGATCATGGTATCACAAGCAGTTTGCTAGATAAATGGTTTAGAAACGTGTTTAAAAAAAAATGAATGGGTCTTTATAGGCTTCCGTCGGTAATTTAATGCTTAAAACATTATTCCAAAAATTGCAAAAGACATTTACAGAAGAAAAGGAAACTAACCTTAAAGCAAGATTTCTTTAAACTAAACATACATATATTACTTTTCCTGAAGGACTTGACGAATAATTGAAATTTTATGAAACTCAGACTTTTGTAAGGTCCCATTAGATTTGGTAAAATGCACCCATAATTTCAGATAATCTGCTAATGTATATTACATTCTAGTTATTACTTGCATACAACTTTCTTTGTTACTGTCATCTCTACGCCATATTTCTACATTATTTTATTTATTAATATATCTTTTGTTTTCTCAACTACCGTTTTATTTCTCGTTGTTTACTTCTTTTATTTATTTTCTTGTAATTCTTTATTTGTTGATTTTTCTTCAAAATTTATAGAGGTTTAATTGCAATTAATAAGAGCGATTACCATATGATGACGCAGTAGCGTATGCCCACAAATGCGAGACATCATGCCAAGAGATACGTGTTAAGCATCTGCATATTTAGCCCCTGTTCTCGATATAGAATTAGAAAAACTGGTACAGCCATTAGGACTAAAACAATCTTCCAAATCATGTCCCAAGTCAAAATGAAGCAGCGTCATAAGAGGAAGGCAATGGTTACAAAGGGGAAATTCGAACCACATACTTGTCATGTCCCCTGAAGTAATTCCAATGGGCTTTTGTTTCTTTAGCTTACTTAAATATAGACTCTTATAGTGTAATATATGTAGAACGTGTTACGTATTACAATTTCAAATAGCCTGAAATTGAGTTAAATTGTAATTTAGATTTAGTAGTTAAATAAATGCGATATGTATCCAATTTATGATATTTGCAAAAAAGATTGATACACACCGTTTGCTTTTTTAATATAAATATATTTTAATATACAAGCAAAAATACAATTTACAATAACAGTTATTACAAATAGTTATTCCAAACAGTGATTTATATACAAAAGTTTTACAAACTTACAAACAATATAAAGTCTTCTTTCTGGTCTGGAACTTCCTTGACGTCTTATCAAGGAGTTAATTACGAGTTGATGTAGGTACAATTCACTTAATAAGGAGCTAGCTAGCTGGTCCTTGTTGATCACACGCCGATTACAGGTCGAGTTTTTTACCGCTGAAGTTATATAATGTCTTTGTAAAAGTACTAATGTCGGATGTGAATCCACCAAAGTTGAATGGTTTGTAATGTTCGAAATTTATAAATGTTCCTGGTCAACATATCTGAAGTGCCCGATTAATAAGCGTTATAACACTCACTGTTATAGTTTCCCAAGTTTATAGCAAACCAATAATAGGTACTGTTATAGGCGCGTCGCGTTGGTTATATTTATAGTTGTGTGGAGAGTTTCTCGAAAATTCAGATTACGCAACAATACAAACGCTACACTAGTGTTTACGTACACACATATATTGTCGATTCTTACAATCGAGAATCTTCTACAACTTTAGTGAATAGGTGGGAGTTTCGCAATACATATCTAATAGTATAAGTTATGTACATTTCTAAATATAAATTTATATTTTATACAAACATCAATATTAAAATAAATATATAATAAAAAATCCATCACAAAAGTTTGTAAGAATTCGGTGTGAGGAAAATAACTTAGACTTCATTTTAAGCAATATCATAAGCTATATGGTAAAATCCTTGTAATCACGCAAAAAGTAATAATTTCTTTTTTACAGATAAGTGTAAAACTCATATATATTTTTAATCAAATGTGAATTATATATATAATATATTTAGGTTTATGTTTTGATTTATGAACCACAATTTTCTCTCTATTTTTAGGATAGTGAATACACACACACACTGCACTTTACATATCTTAAATAATAATTTTTACACTAGTTTATAAAACCTATTTACATCGCAACAACTGAGCTTCGAATCACAAGTCTTTCTTATTTTAGCCGTAATTTTTAGTTTTAAAATAATGTTTTGTAACTGGCAATAAAAATTCCATTTTACTGTCTTGGTCCACCGTTATACTCTTTACACATAAACGTAAACTGCCTGACCTGCTTTTAAATATAAGATAACCAAACTGATGGTAGAAGTCCTAGTTTTATAACCATAAGTCCATTGAGTACATTTATTAGTTTATATATCTCTAGTGTGAACAGTTAGGCCTAGAGCATATTAGGAAAGCATAGAAGGAATGCTACCAAACATTTAAATCATGTTCAAATACAAGTGATGCCATGAAATGTAATTAAATGTATGATTGAGATTTTGCAACTATAGGTTATAGCTATGAAAAAAGGAACATACTTAGTTAAGAAGTTTAAAAAGGGCATAAACCTGTTAATGGACTATTCGTTTTTAATAACATGTTTATGTTTGTGAAAAACATTGCTCGGATTCTTTCATGTCTTTTTCCTGGCGCACAAGTCCCTAGACTTTTATATCGTACAAAACTACAACTTAAAGTCCGCTTAGTAATATTAATTTACAGTTAGCGTTATAAATATTGTGAATAATATTAACCAATACTTTCGGATTCTTTAAGTTCGTGCAATATACAAATCCTGGTCCAATCAACCATATATTTCTTCAGATACTATGTAAGCGTTTATACCGTTACAACTGGCTCATATTAGACCTTGTTCAGAATTAAGTTATATATATATCTATATACAAGTTATATTTTGTTATCATTTATGTATCCCAGACATGGGAAGTCAAATTTCGAGAAAGCATTTTAATAGCTAACGTTCTGAAGTCATCAAAGCCAAATCTCGTCTGCTTCATGAAAAAAACTAGTTAAATGTATAACAACCGATAAGATATTGTTCTAGATAATTTGAATACGTAGTAGAAAAGACTGTTTTTTTTAAAAAAAAAAGAGGCACTGTTATTTCGAATTTTCCATTTCTAGCTTCTTAAAAAATGGAAAGAATATCATAGGTCAGCAAACTGTATAAGCCCCTCAGTGGCACAGAGGTATGTCTGCTGACTTACAACACTAGAATCCGGGTTTCGATACCCGTAGTGGGCAGAGCACATATAGCCCATTGTGTAGCTTTGTGCTTAATTACAAACAAACAAGCTGTATAAAAAGTTAAATGGACTTTGAAAGGTGAAATTATTTCCAAATGAGATTATTTACTCGTGTGCTCTTTACGTTTTTTGTTTTTCGTTTATATTATGCTTTACTAGTTTACCTCTTCATTTAACATGGTCTCATACGATAGATATATTAAAATATTATAATAGCTTGATTATTCTATCTGTAATTAGTGCTTTTCTTTAACTGAGTAGAAATCACACAGTTTTATTGTTTTCTTCTTCTTTTTTTTTAGCTCCAGGAAAAATGACGAAGTTCAACTACACGAAGGCTTCACCGGAAGTAGCAATTTTCACATGTGAAGTAGATCAGATATATCCTCAACCCCAGGTGAACCTGTTTCAGTTGTCACCAGAAGAAAGAAAGCCAAAACCACTTGAAAATACTCCAACTAAAATAGAGATGAATAACGGATCGTATCGTATACTTGTTACTAGAGAAATTAAAGACAGTGAACTTCCGTCCGACGGCGCTACAACTTTCGAATGCGTCATTTTGATACCGCAAATAAACCATCAAGAACACAGAAGCATCAAGTATTTCCCAGGTAAAAAAACTATAAATATCCAGCTTTTATAATATAAGGCATGCGGTATTAGAATTACTAGTATTGTCGTGATTCACTTTACATTTGCACCAAAGTACTACACAATAACTAGAAAAAAAATATTCATTTTGCAACTCCTTTTTCAAGAGTTACTTAAATTTCGGGAACCTAGAATTTTCGCACTCGATAAATATATGTCAAAAATGTTATTACTATTTGATAATGTGTTTGTATAAAAAAATATATAAATCACTGTTTTTAAAGATCATCAATATTTCTGCATTATTCCACGATTTATTTCAATAGATTAGACAGAGAATCAAATGAGTTGAAACAATAGCTCTGATCTCATAACATTGGTGTTTTTTCTTTTAACAGACACAGGAAGATTTTCTCTATTTCTTAACAAACAGGCACACTTCAAATATTTCTATAATACCTATCAAAAACGAAAATGTGCACGCACGTTTTCACTTAGAACTGGCGCGTTCTAAAGTAAACGCGAGCGAAAATACGTATAAATACAGTTTCTCATCTTCAGTGGACATATAAGAACAAATATTATTATACTGTGGATGTTGATCATGGTTAGTGGCAAACGTGCCGGAATGTTTATCCGATGGTTCAGGGGTCACGTCCCATTTTCACAAAATTGCGCATCGCACTTTGGATTCGTTGGTGCGTTATGAAAATGACGGTCAATTCCATACACTACTTGATTAGAGTAGCCGAAGAGTTGGCGATTGGTGCTGTTTATCTATCAGTTTAAAGTTAGGAACATCTAGCACACATAGTCTTTGTGACGCATTTCTTAAATATCTGAGGTCAAATGATTTTTTTTTTATATAGTTTGCGTTATTTCTTAATGTAAGATTTTGTTTACATTCCGCAGCTATTTTATAAACTTAACTTATTGTATTTTATCTATTATGATTTCAAGATCTAACGAAGAATGAGATTTTCTTTCATAAATGTAATTAATAGCTTATGTATAGTTGAATCAATGAATTATTAAAATGTAGGGTGTGTCTCTCATTTTAATTACTATACATGCATCCTACTGCACGCGCATTTCAAAGTTTTCTCAAGAGCTAAATAGAACTTGATTGTTTTTAAAACTATATCAGAACACACAGTGTGAGTTCTACTGTGCAAGATGTTCTGTATACATTTTAGTAATAGTGTTCTCCTGTCTAAGTTTGTTTAGTATTTGAAAATAATGGGTTTATTTTTCCTTCTTAGACGAGAAGTGCGTGATATAATTCAAAGTCGACTGGAGAAGTTGTAAGCAGCGCGAGCTAACTTTCAATTTCCTTTTAGTCTTGTTGTTTAAAATCAGCACAGATAAAATAGTGATTGTTCCACAATTATATTTGCAATTCCCACGATACATTACCATAATGCTTCTTCTATTTAGAGATACTATTTGTTTACAACATTCACTCTACTGTTCTCTAAATCCCAAGTCTAACGATTTGATTGCGTGACTGTAACATTCCTACATAATCGAGTAAAAGATATTCTAGAGTTCTCCTTAAGTTGGTTCGTCCGGGGATTTGGTAAATCCTTTGAAAAATATTTCAAAACATTGCCGTTTATAACCGGAAGTTAATCTTCTGGTAGAGCAAATTTGTTTCGAAATAAGTTATAATTATAGACGGAAAATAGTGATTAAAGATGTTGAGTGAACTAAATAGGGAAATAAGTTTAATTTCATTTTAATTCAATGCTTTCCGCCCAGCCTAACTGGAAGCATATTTTACCTGCTCGCCGTAAATCGGTAATAAGCAGGATCTTAATGTTGCATTCGAAATAAAATTGTATTTATTAAAACTGTGGTCTGTATACATATCAGGTTCAATAAACAAGCTCGTGTATATGCAAAATATAACAGCTTGGAAATTCTTTTAAAGTGTCATATTTACTGTGCAAAACCAGTATTCTTAGCTATTGCAGTTTCTTGAAAGGATCCCCAGCTAATAAGTAAAACTATACCTTCTAGACAAGATTATTGTTGTTTTTCTCCTCAGATATTAAGATATTTTTTATAATAAATTGATGAAAAAAGCACTTACATTGCTGCATTAAACAATGTCTTGCTAACAGATCTGAGATATTAGCTGGTGGTAAATATGTTACTTTTTTCAGTCTTTGCAAATATACTAATGTACCTAGAATCAAGTTGGGATAATGCCATCATTATATATAATTACTGAGAGCATTTATGGGTGACTTTATGGGTATTTATTTTTTACTCGCCATCACGCTAAACTCTAGCCAATTCTAAATGTAGCAAGGATATGACATCGGAAACACCTTGCATATTATCTACTTACACAAAACAGACGAGGTTTGAGGAGTGAATTTGTATATATATAACTTAAGCATTGCTTTTATATCAGAATGGTTTTAGACTAATACTCTGGTAATAACAAAATTTATGAAACTTTATCCTCTATGGCGTAGTATATTATTGTTATATTTTATTTTGTTTTCTCAAAGCTATACTAAGGCGATCTGAGCAAAGTCGTCCGTAACTCTGAACTGACTATCTGAAAGAAAGGCAGAGCTAGTCAACAGCACCCCCTGTCAATTCTAATGCTACTCTTATGTCATAGAATAGTGGCATTCTGTTGTTATTGTTGTATCGCAGGCGTAGCCCTAAAGTGTGGAAAAGTGTTTTACGGAAACAAGTCGTAAATCATGAATCCTTATATTCACATGTAATTCGAGAATGCCAATCTGTAACTCACACTCAGCTCATGGCACAGGAATGTATTTTGTTAAATGTGAGTAATTTTATATAAATGAGCGAAAACCGTTCATTATAAGCAATAACAAACTGTGGTTGAAGACCTTATATAATCGTATATCAAGCCTCTGTTAAATGCAATTGTTATGCGTTTCAAATAATTTGCGCCGCATTTTCCAGGAAACCAAACTTTCGCCATGTAATATGTTTCTTGATCACATTCTAGTGTTTGAGACATTTCGTTTTTTCTTTTCTTAGTTCTTACGTCGTTTGTTTCATTTCTCTAACTAAATCTTACAAAATTAAAATATACTTTATTTTATTCGACTTTGTAAAAATAGCTGTCGTAATTATAACAGCTGAAAAAAATAAATTTTACTCATGTATAATACGTATACCCACATTTTGAAGTTCAGAATTCTGCTGCGGTCAAGCAGAACTGGTAGCGGGTTGGTTGCATTTGTTACGTGCTCTGCAAGCTGCCTGCTATGAATACACAGACACTTCTGAACCCCAATAGTTTCCGTTGTCGATTATTGGTAATAACATGATATTATTTCATCACATGACGTACGCTTTTTTAAAATCACACGTTCTTTGTTGTTATTTTTTTAATTCTCAGGAAATATATATAGTATCCACATTTCAGTCATTTTAGCTTACGTTATATATATATATACTCTGAAGAGACCAGTCAAAAACATACAACCATAGTTTAACAACTGTTCTTCTTTAAAACGTTCTTTTAAGTGCAACAAAAATCATCTACTCTTTGTAAACTTCACAGAATGTTTCGTTTACCAAGTTGTAAGTTTAACCTAATAACTAGTTCTTATTAATTGTTTATAGTGAAAATGAGAAGTAATAAAACCTTGAAATGGAAAACGTTTGTTCTCACCTGTGGTCTAGACGTTTTATCCATTGTATGTCAGTCAAAAATTTGTTTTATCTTATATACACTTTAGTTCCAGCTACTTGAGTCTATTTCATGCGTGTTTCTGGTTTCCTATCTTTTAAATTTTAACTTTTAATTTGATAATTAACTATATGTTTTATTTCCTTATTTATAATTTTACTTACATTTTTTCCCCATTGGCACAGATGTATGTCTGCGGACTTACAACGCTAGAAACTGGGTTTCGATACCCATAGTGGGCAGAGCACAGATAGCCCACTCTGTAGCTTAGTGCTTAACTTCAAACAAACTTACATTTTTTAAATTTACTAAAACTTCTTTAACAGAATTAATTCTCCTTTTCAAGTTTTTAATATATTTGTCCTGCGTAGAATATCTCTGCCACACATTTCATAGTATCCTAATATGTATCCTTTCGCGTTGTTTTATATAACTTGTTGTAACATAACCTCCCTGTAACATCGCTGAAAATCACAAAATAAACTATTTTTTCATTATTTCCAGTTCACTCTAGGATGACCTATTATTCGAATTTACTCAGGTTTTCTGGCTTCTATTGTGAGAGTTATTTGCATTTCTATTTCTGCTGCTTTCCAAACATCATTACAAATTTCACGAGTTACTGAAGCTGGAAATAAATGTTTATTTATTTACTCTCTAATCTATATCAAACAATAATCAACGTAATGACAGTTGAGTAGCAATGAGAACCATAGAGAAACAATTCGATAGCAAATAGACAGATAGAGAAATGGTGGACAATTAGAAATTAGCCAGGAGTGGGGTTTGCAGTCGGTACTAGTACCGATACCGGTATTGGTTTATATTATATCATATGTTGAGAATAATATCTGTTATCACCTGTCCCATCTTTGGAGTTTTGACTGAACGCCTCCTCTGGTATTTCAGCTTCGCTTTTCACATATTTATAAGTGTTTGATGCGGTAATTTTGAGTTCATACTTCAGTCAATAAGCAAATCTCATTGTGAAAATCGGCAATAGCATGAAATATGGGAAACTGGTGACTCCCACGCTCTGAAAGAGAACGTGAATGTGCCTACGTGACTGACTGCACGTTAGGTAGGTGCGTGCGTGAATAGCTCTTAGCATGCTGGCAGGTCAAACTGCGCGTTTCACGACGTTTTAGTGAGTTACATTCAAAATTTAATTAAACCACTTAATTATCGTGGCATAAGAAGAAACTTGACATCAAACCATAGACAATAAATTTTAATATTATATAAGTTTTAAGTTATTAATTGTATAAGGAAATATTTAAAAACAACCTCAAATTCCCCTAGTGTGAGAATTTGGATATTTGTTCTTGAGCC